GCATGATGGATATTTGTTTCGAGAAAATAAATTATGTGTTTCTAAATGTTCAATGAGAGAATTATTAGTACGTAAAGCACATAATAGATGTTTAATGGGTCATTTGGGGTTAAGAAGACCTTAGAAATGCTAGATGAACATTTTTATTGGCCTAACACGAAAGTTGATGATGATCGGGTTTGTAGTAGATGCTTCACTTGTAAAAATGCTAATTTAAGGTTTTACCTCAGTGTTTATATGTGCCACCTATTCCTAGTGAACTTTGGGTTGACGTGTTTATGAATTTTGTGTTGGGTTTAACAAATTTTTTCATAACAAATTTTGAAGAAAAGTTTATATAATTTTTGGAGAGAAATGAGGTGTCTCTTTTACTTTTGAGCTGGCTACGTTTTTATAATTTTAATCTTAAGATTATAAGGTTACTCAATTCATTTTAATTTTTGTCTTAGTTTGATAGGGATTATAGTTATAGTTTAGGGTTCGAAAATTGATACATTCACTCAACGTACACATATAAGATTAAATAACAAAATCAATTCCAATTTCTACAAGTAAATTCAAGTATATATCCAAAATGTGATAGGCAACAAGATTTTATGTCGTTAAACCTTGTGAAATTTTACAGAGCATAGTTGAGATGAGAATAAGAAAAAGAAAGTTGCATCACCAACCCATGTTGATAACTAAATACCAATTTAGAAAAATAATTAAAATTACCAACAAAGTTAAATGAGTTAATTGTTATTAACTAGAGAAAAAAGAAGAGAAGAGAATAGAGAGAATTAATTTTTTTTCCATATATTTGATTAAAAACAAATGCATCATATTTATAATTAGGGCTGTAAGGGTATAATATTATTAATAATTAGTAATTAATTAACAACCCACCCATTTGAATGACTATTTATACAACTCCCTTATTAAAAACCTCGTTTGGTAAAACTCAGCTAGGGATGGTAAAAAAAAACTCGATATCTCGTGGGACCTCTTTCCCTAGTCAGGTACAAGGGGTGAGGACGAGGGCCGAGGCCAGGGTCGTTATCTCAAATGTGGGTGAGTGTATTGGATTTTCGACTCCACTAATCAATTCTTAATTTCAATTCTCAACCACTGATAATTAATTCGATTCATGCAATTGCGACGATCGA